CGTTACGTTCGTTACGTACGTACGTACGTACTACGTACGTACTACTACTACTACTACTACTACTTACTTACTTACCTACCTACCTCCTCCTCCCTCCTCTCTCTCTCTCTCTCTCTCTCTCTCTCTCTCTCTCTCTCTCTCTCTCTCTCTCTCTCTCTCTTTCTCCATGCATAATTTCCTCATCAAATTTGCAAATAGCATGTATTGGTGTTGGGATTTTTTTTTAAATTAACTTGTTGTATTGAGTGTGAAAAAGTTATAAAAAGGAATCTGGCAGCCCGCTAGATGGGTGCTCGTTACAGCTTCCAAAAATGACCAAGTATACAAGAAGATAGAGCCCTATACAGAATAGATTTTTATTTTTGCACTCCAAAAAAAAAAAAAGGATACAGAATAGACGTTACTGTCCATGCTTCCAAAAAAACCAAAAATGGGACGAGAGCTTCAAAAAATTGCCAAGGAGGCCCCGCTGGTAGGGGTATTTACTGCTGGTCCAGAATTAGCACCAGCTATAGCAAGATTATCTGCATCGTGGTTTGCCTTGTGCCATGTATGTCGTTAGGAGATGCCCATACGCCTGCTCAGATCGGACAGTTGGTCAAAAATATGTTGGGATGTTGTGTTCACTACATCCGTTGCAGTTAACTTTTGAATGATGCATTAGTATCTGGTTTTCTTCTTACAGGGTGTAACCTTAGGAGGAACTGGTAAAGAAACAGGAGATCGCCATCCTAAAATAGGTAGAGGAGCGCTCATTGGAGCTGGTGCAACTATCTTGGGTAATATTAGAGTTGGTGAAGGTGCTATTGTGACTGCTGGTTCTCTCGTTCTAAAGAATGTTCCTCCGCACTGGTACACTTATGTTGCCATTTGTAGAAATTAAGCACTTCTTTCAATCCATAACTTCTGTTTGTGTTGTTAATTTTGATTTGAATAAATTATGTATCATGATTTCATTATATTTTGTCATTGTCTGAGTAGCTAAAATGCTGCGTGAATTAGAGAGTCTGATGTGACCTAAGATCAGGCATCACTAGACATTGACTACAAGACCCTAAAATATGTTCGAGTACTTTTAATTGAAATAAGGTTAACTATCTACAATAGCCAATAACCATCCACAAAACTAAATTAACAAACTTGTGTAAATCAGCATCAAATTTAGGAGTTTGCTTTATTGTTCGGGAAATGAGATTCAAATCCTTAATCGGTTGAATCTGCCCTTAAACAAAATCAGCTTGAAAGGGAGGGGAGGTGCTGCCAAGCCTTCTATATGACCTTCAATTAAAGAATTTTAGAAACCCTTCTAGGGTTCTTTCTCAAAATTCTCAGAAACAAAGCACTTGACCTTCAATCAAGTGCTGCGTTGATTTTTTCTGAAACGGAGTGTGTGCGAGTTGTGTATTTCAAGAATAGGTTGGATCTTACCAGCTGCACTTTACTAATTCTCATTTATATTAGAATAATCTAAAATACCCATAACTAAAATAAAATAATAAAATGACCAAACTACACCCTGAATTCTGTACAACACCGCAGAGACAAAAATACCCTGACAGAACTAAAATAAAATTTAAAAGACCAATAATCATCGTTTTGCTATAAAAAATGCAAAAAAAATAAATCCTTAATAAAAGTTATAGCAAAACACAAAAAAGTAAATTCTTAATCAAAGATAACTTATATTAATCCTATAGAAAGCTAGGATGCCCTCATCGAAGTTTCAAACATCAGTTAAATTGATAAACATGTCAAGATTTGGATATATTGGATTGACATTGAGAATCACAATGTCTATGATTTAAGCTTTTTATTTTTAACTATTTTAGCAATGAAAAGAAGGATCCCATATTTTTTGCTAAATGTTAGTTTGTGTGGGTTGATGTAGGAGAAAGGCTACCAATAGGTGGCACTTATATTGAGCAGTAATTTTGGCTATCCTCTCTTGATCAGATGGTGGGGAGGCTAACTGAAATTACTATTTATTTTAGATGACTACCTATTGGTACCGTTTTCTAGACACAGACACATATTGGGAAGATTGGCTGTGGATGAGGTGGGAAACAGAAAACCCTGGCGAGGAGGATTGAAGGACAATAAAAGAGTTTAGGTTGAATAGAAAAAGAAAATCAGTGTATTTATCCATTTATTGTTTTAATTCCTTCTCACCTGGCAATAAATAAAGAAATTTAAGGAAAACGATATGAACCTGTGATGTCATATTTGGTGATAAAATGATAACCACTTCTTATGACATTCTCATCTCTGGTTCAGCATGGTGGCGGGTATCCCAGCCAGGGTAATCGGACCTGTGAAGGAGAAAGATCCATCTCTCACCATGAAGCATGGTAATTTCCAAATTGCGGTTTTGTTATTTAAGATGTTCTTATTTAAGATGTTCTGATTTCCAACATAAACAAAGGGTGGAAAATTGCTTTTTTCATTAAAAAAAAATTTATTTTTGTTTGCTTTAGTAATATCCTTTTGGAAATTTGCAGATGCTACTAAGGAATTCTGTGAGCTCATGGCTGTAGATTCTCTGCAAAAAAGACCCAGTGGTTAGCCCTCAGATCACCTCCTTGTCTGGTTAGGAGTTTCTATGGAAACACAGATCCACGCTCATTCTCTCTCACTCTCTCTCTCTCACTGTATAATGTAAACTAAATAAGGATATTGTGATATAGATTGTGATTCGTTATGGTTTAAGGCTGCATCTTTGAAACTGCTCTCAATGAGCTCAGAGAGAGAGAATTATGATCTGTATTGGTTCCTTGGTGGCACACATTTTTAAGGCTGCATCTTTGGAACTGCTCTCAATAAGAGAGAGCATGCATTTCTGACTTTGTGATTTACATCAAGCCATCCAATTTGACATTTAATGAGTGGAAATGATTGTGACATTCATGTACAAATGATAAACAATCCCTTCTATAAATGGTTATTGAAATTGGACATTAATTTTTCTATAGGGTTATAATAACATAACATTAATTTTCATTTAGGGTCCATTTGGCTCCTTGAAAGAAATTTATTGAAAATTCCAATGAGAGAGATGGTTGAGGGTTTGTGAGAGAGAGAGAGAGAGAAGGCATGGGCCATGGAGTTCGTTGAAGATCGGGGTGGTTGGGGCTGAAGAAAATTCATTTAAAGATAATGATCTATTCACTTGTTTAGATGGAAGATTTTTTCTTTTTTTTTTGGAATAATGAGGTAAAAATGGAGATAAAGGGAATATTTCTCTCCTAAGTTGATGTACTTTATTGTAATTGAGATGGAGTATCTCTCTCCTAAATTGATATAATATATTGTAAATTATTGGGAAAATTATAATATCCCTTGAACTTTTTAGATATTTTACTCCCAAATATTTTTTGTCACACGACGTGATCTTTTTTATTTTTTTGTATTTACTTCCTCGATCATAAAGTCAACAAAATTAAAACTATAATGCGCTTTTCATACTCTCTCTATAATGCCTTTACCCTCTCTCTACCCGCCTTCTCTCTTCGGGCCATCAAAAGGTATAGAACCAAACGGATTCTTGGGACAAAACCTTCCTCAACTTTGCACTCTCTTCCTGTACAGCAACCTCGCTTTTAACGCTATACGAAACTTTCCCACCTTCGAGCTCTGCAAGGCTCTTTGGTCCTGCAAAATTAAAAGCATGGCTACTGGTTTCATTGCCTTTGACCACTGAACCCCTTAAATTTTTTCCCTCCATAGTAGTATTAACCTAGGAAGCTGCCTTTTCAATCTCTCACGATTTCTTCCAATAAAACCACTAGGGTTGCTTACTGGCCCTCTTGCCCTGATACCCAAACTTGTTTCTTGATGAAATTCTAGCGAAGACTTTCCAGGTAGTTTGAGCCGACCTTGGAGCTGCTGGTGTACTGTGGGTTCACCCCAGAGAGAGAGAGGATGGGTAGAGAGAGAGAAAAAAGAGAGGGAGAGAGAGGGAGGGTAGAGAGAGAAGCGGTAGAGAGAGTGAGAGAGAGAGGGCGGGAGAGGGAGAGAGAGAGTGAGAGATGACGGCTAGAGCGAGAAAGAAAGAGAAAGAGAGAGGGCAGGTAGAAAGAGAGGAGATAGAAAGAAAGTAAGGGGAATCTAGAGAGAGAGGGGGTATGAAAAGGGCATTACAATCATAATTTTGTTGACTTTTTGATTGAAGGGATAAATAATAATTAAAAAAACAGTGTTAGGGTCCAAAATGTGATGCTAAAAATATTGAAGAATAAGATGTTATAAAGTTTATTTTAGGAGGATATCTATAATTTTCTCTAAATCATTTGAGATGCTTCATTTTGAGGGAAGAATATCGTAGAAATTGCTTTTTAAGGGGCCAAATTAACCCTTATTGAGGGCCCAAATTAGCCCTTATAGCGCATGTTTTGCATGGAGGTCCAGCCTAGAACTTTTGAGCTATAATTGTTTCGAATTGGAGCCATAAAAATTAAGTTAAACAGCTGTATGCTCCTGATGGTACAAATCCTTTTAGGATCCAAATATTGGAGATGTGCCCTCAGCTTGGGAACTTAACCAAGAAACAAAATCATATGCATTCTGTATGTGCCTAAAGAAAAAATAATATTCTAAGGTACTTGTCCTATTTTTGGACGATCAGTTAAAGGCAGTGTTTGAAAAATCGTCGAGTCACCACAGATTCGGGCGACTCGACAAGGGAATCAGTCATCCCGTGTTGATTCTAGGTAAAAACCGGAAACCGCCCGTTTTTATAAACAAATCAAGCGATTCGGGCGATTCTAACATCATGAATCTGCTGATGATGTCACAACATGGAACGAGTTTGAACAAATTTCGTCACACGAGTTTCGGACACATGCGATGTTCGTAACACGAGTTCTCGCACACATGCGTCATTCGTAAACTCGAGTTTTGCACTCGTGCAACGGGCCTACACAAGCACACCACGTGGGAAGACGACTGCTTTTTCACGTGTGCAATAGTTCACGCTACCAATTTGTTATTTATGGAATCTTTAAAATCTTCAATGTTAAATATTAATTTACACACTACGCAGTCTTGACAATGTTATATAATATATAATTTTATTATTACCACAAAGAACAACTGCAGTCGGGTCGTCTAGGTGGTCATCGCTTCTATCCCTCTCTCAATGGGTTCCAAGCTTCGAGCAGCAGCCCACCATCTAGTTTTATTTTAGGGAAAATGACAAAAAAATAAAACCCCGAATATACTATTCACTCAATTTACCCCCACCCAAATTTTGTCTCACGTTTTTTTCCCCTTAACAAGCTTTCCTCGCAAAAAACCCCCCACAGTAAAAAGTTATAAATTTTTGGATAGAAATGCTGTCCAAAGACCTAACTGCTGGAGCGAAGAGCAATATCGCCAGAGTGCTGTAGCTCCAGAAAACTATCGGCGCGAAATCTACCATACTATCGGAGCGAGATCACATAGTGCCGGATCGAACTGAAAAACCGCCGAAGTGGTGTGAAGCAATACAGTATTGCCGGAGTGCATGTAAATAACTCCGGATTGCGGACTCTACTACCGGAGCGTAGTTCTAAACTGCCGTCAACGCCGGAGCGAATGAACTCACTGTTGGAGCGATATGGCTCCAGAAGCTTAACTGTCGGAGCCTGTTACTATAGTGTCGGAGTGCCTTGCCTTAATGCTGGAGCACTATATAATGAACACCGAAGCATTGTGGTTCCAGAAGCCTTACTGCCGGAGTGTGCATACCAACTTCCAGAGCGTTGGTACAAACTGCCGGAGCGATGTATACGAACTACCGGAGCACTGTGGCTCTGTAAGCCTAACTACCGGAGCGTGAAGAACATATTGCCGAAGCATGGGTTTATACTGTTGGATCATACTTGTTTACTGCCGGAGCGACTGTGGCTCCAGAAGCTCTACTACCAGAGCGAGGAAAGGTTAGTGCCAGAGCGTGCATATTGTCTGTCGGAGCGCATTGTTATACTACCGGAGCGTCTGTGGCTCCAAAAGCTTTACTGTCGGAGCGAAGAATTGTACTGTTGGAGCGACATGTTGCAATGTCGGATTGTGGTGTTGTAGTACCGGAGCAAAGTGTTGTCAAGCAATGGTTTTTTTTTTTTTTGGCTTTTTGTCTTTTGTGGTGTTGTATGTTAGAACTGAATTAGGTGTTTCTCTTTAGTGATGTTATATGTTCGCCTTTGGTAGCGTTATATGTTAGCATTTGGTGGTGGCTTATAATTCTATGTAGTGATTTTATATAGCCTTTGGTGGTTTTTATATGTTAGCCTTTGGTAGTGTCATATGTTAGCATTTGGTGGTGGCTTATAATTCTATTTAATGATGTTATATAGCCTTTGGTGGTTTTTATATGTTAGCCTTAAAGCAGTTACACTTCGCTTTGATGGCTTCATAGTTTATCACCAAAACGATTGATATGTTGCAAACATAATGATATATATCAATCATAAAATCCAAAAATACATTTGTTTTGAACATCTATATAACATATGCTTCATTGATGTAACATACCCTTCATTGAACATACCTTTCATTGAAGAGTATGTAAAGAGAGATCTCTCATTTATGTAAAGAGAGAGCTCTTTATTGAACATACCCTTCAACCGCAAATAAGGAGAGATTTCTCATTTATGTAACATATCCTTCATTGAACATAAGTTTCGAACATTCATATTAAATCCCAAAAGACATATCACACTCAACATCAAAATATAACCAACCATATCATTTACCGAATATATGTTTCAAACATACTGATCAAATTCAAAAATACAAATGAATGAAGATCAATATCGACCACATTTTTTTACTTAACATTTGTTTCAATTATACATATCCAAGGCCAAATAAAAAAAAAATCAATTCCCCCATCGTAAATTCCACCTCGATTCCTCTTGCAACACCGGCGCTTGAAATTGATCAGCTTTTTGCTTTGTTCTTCTCACATCTTCATGCTCACTATTACCATCATCTCCTCCATCATCATCATCCTCTTCTCCGTCATCTCCTCCTCATCATCATCATCTTCTCCATCATCATCCTCTTCTCCATTGTCATCGTCTTCTTCTCTTTCACTTTCATCACCCTCATCGACACCTCTCTCCACAGAAGTGTTATTCAGTAGCAGATCATGTGCAGCCTGTACGTAATCTCTGGATTCTCCGGTTAGTGCTTCACTATTAAGTGCAGCTTGTAGCAACTCTATACATGTATGTCGATGCAAGTAGATAGTGAAAACAAACAAAATTGACCATCAGATATGTATTTCATAATTTTAAATTATATTAAAACAATAAAATAAAAAAATGCATATAATAAATATTATACCAATCTATTATCCTGGGATTGGCTTACATAGGGTTGTACATGCGATTGGCTTGCAAAAGGCTATACATAGGATTGCGACTGCGATGGGAGGAGAAATGGTGTTTTTCCTTACATAAACATGTTGTACCAGGTCATGTACTCTCCAGTAGGTACTCCACCAGATTTATCTAAAGGCGCTTAACAACGTTACGTTCTTGTTGTTTCTAATATTTTATCTGCCTACCCAATTCGACAGTCCAGTTTGTGGGGTGTACACCGACCCTCTCCCTCCTATCCCACTTGGGTGGCGTAACAAGAATACCTTGCATCTTCCCAAATTGTCGCAACACGTGATCGGGCATGTAATACTTCGCAATGTTGAAACTAATGAGGTATGAATGACACATAAAGTACTCAGCAATTTCCTGCGACTCCTCATACGGTTGTCAAGTCACCTACAAAAATAAGCATGAGATATTAATAATAAGGAAAGACATTCTATATTGAATGAGATATTATCTACTGCGTTATAAGCACACAAGCCAATCACTAACTATATTGAACGAGATATGGTCAAATGAGATGTTTTTGTGCCGTACTTGTTTCTTCCAAATGTAAGCCCTAGGCATCTCTAGGTTGATGACCAATGCAGACTTGGTAGCTAGAGCTCGAAAATGCTCATAGATCCAACACTGTAGAAAAAGAAATAAAAGTAAGAAGCCACATAAACTGTAAGATTGTAAATATATATAATAGAAATAGTGAAAAATACCTGTAGTAAGGTCGGTGACCCACTGAAATGATTATTTTCCCATCTGCGACCTTGGACAATGAATGATATAAGAAAGCAAGAGCCGCAGTACCCCATGCTTACTTCCCTACCTCATCAAAATTTCGAAACAAATGCACTTATATTGAAAGTGTTGATCCTTTAGATAAGTCAGCAAAAATTGTTGTTCCAACTAGATAGAGGAGATATGCTCGTGTGTGTTATGTGAGTTGTAATTTGGTGGGTTTTATTGGAAGTTGACAAAATCTACTCCTCAACCATGTATGATTTAGACGCATTGAGGTGGCATCTTTAGAGCAATCTCCCAAATATTCCTTGACAAAAGAAATATAGTTTTTAGGCCTGATGCCGGTTACGGGCTCACCCGTTACGGGTATCCTTAATATCTGCCATTCATCAGATAATGTTAGACTCAATTCACCGATGCTTAAATTTGCAGTATTCATGTCCCTGCACCATTTCCCTATAAATGCCATCATTAGGTTGCAATCGATACGCGAGACCCCGATATCCATCAATGGACTCAACTCGATCTTATGAATTAGAGGTACATGTCATTGATCGAGCTTCTATTTTGCTAGGGCTTGAGTTGATTCATCAATATGAAGTATATTGCTCTCCTAAAATGAAAATTAACAAGAAATTGCAATAGTCAATCACCTGAGAAATACCTAATTAATGTCAATCATTTAGTAAAAAAAATAGACCTTTCGTACCTCATGCCTTTGACCTGATGACGTGGATGGTTCCCCTATGCCTCTTAGTTGTTCCGGGTCTTACATTGCTAATTATATTATCATAATTGGCATAACAAGTTAACCACGAGTAGCATATCCAATAAGAAAAGAGATAGAACATCGACATATCCAATCTAATAAGAAAAGAGATAGAACAGTGGTATATCCAATCCAAAAAGAAAAATGATAAAAAACTGAACAAAGAAGATAACTAAAAAAGATAGAGAAAAATGACATATCCAATATATGTGTCTACAAAATGGCATATCCAATACAAAATGGCATACCCAATATAGTGAAGTGGGTGCTACAATTTAAAAAAACTGAACAAATAAGATAACTAAGAAAATGCCTTCAAGTGGGTGCTTTACATGTTGTCTTGTTGTGACCAGTTCTTTTACACCTACTGCAGTGAATAGGTTGAACTGGTATTTCATGTGACTCGATGCGCTTCCTTTTAGGTCGGCCAGGGGGCCGTCTTGAGTGAGGTGGAAGTACTCTTATTCCATCTATAGGAACTTGTGCACACGTACGCCCAGATAGATCGATCAAGGTAACTCACACGATAGGTTCGGAATATGTTTCACAAAACTTTGCAACCATGAAATAGTCTTCACAATAGTCGATCGGATCCCTATTCATCCATTGAAGGGCTTTACAAGCATGTTTGCAGGACAAGCCCGTAATTTACCAACCCCGGCATTCACATTCTCGTGCAATTATGTTTACCTTATAATTTATGCGATGACCCCTTGCTTCAAACATTGCTCCACTTGACATAGTGACCCTAACGGAAAGGGATTGCTTTATGATCTTTATCAATTCCTTTTGCGCGTGCAGGGTAAGTGTTGTGGTCTAGGATTCAACTTCCAAGTTGCGGGTGGCCATTAGTTTCATGATTTGTCTTCTAATCAAGTCAACACACTGGAGAATTGGCATGTCACGTGCTTGTAGAATCCACTTGTTATATGACTCAACCACATTGGTTGTTACTTGATTATGTCGTTTACCCCTGAAGAGTGATGTGACCCAACGATCTAGCGATGCTTCCATGAACCACTTGAATGCGACCTCATAAATAGGCCTAATTTCACTCATATTGTCAAAATACTCTTGTAGCATGTATGCTCTACATGCTCCGACAAAGTATTGTACAACTGCCTTCTTAATATCATTAGGTACGTCTTTTACTTCTTTCTTGAAATTCTCCGCTAATTGACGCTCTCAGAAGGCATGATAGGCATTCTCAATAACTTGACAAACAATATCAACTAGGCTAGGGTGTCTATCAGACAAAAAATTGATTTCACGATCTGTCCCAGTAGCAATCTTTAGAGATTTCATAAACCACAACCAATTGTCGGTACTTTCGGCATCCACAATAGCGAATGCAACAAGAAACATTTGTTCTTCTCCATCAAGTGAGTTCGCAGTCAGTAAAGTTCCAAGGTATTATGCATTCAATGATGTCCCATCGAGAAATATCGTGTGCGGTACCCACTTTTGAAGCCATGTATTGAGCCATAAAAGCTTAAAAACATTCGACGAAATCTGCTATCTTCACATACTTGTCCTGTCGCATAACTACCAGGATTCGTCTCTATCCACTCGGTTTACATATGCGGGTAACTGGTTGTTTGCATCCTCTTGTGAACCATGTATGTTTTTTATGGCTATTTATTTCCCTCACCAAGCTTTGCATCAGGGTATTTCTAGCCCATAATCTCGAGACAAATCATTCATGATTTCTTTAGCCTTGTATTGCTCAGTGTTGCTTAATTTATCCTTGATTAATGATGCAATAAATTTTTGTGATGCTCTTCTCTGTATATCATTGCTTGTCCCAATATTACATGTGTGTTTTTTTTTCCATGTTTTGATGCTCAAGACATTCGTCCTGCCAAATTTCGAAGCACATATCTCCCATTTGCATCCATTACCCTTGCATTTCGCCTTTATGTGATACCCCTCATTTTTTAAGAAAACGATAAGTAAAATGGTGTGCTAGAGCAATCTTGCTTAGGGCTTTTCGGAAGTCATCTAAAAATTCAAATTGTTGGTCTATACCGGTAAGTGCATCATCCCATGAACTAAGCAACTTTGGTGCATTATTTTATTCGAAACTAGAGACAAAAACATTAGAGGATTGAGGGTTCTGGCCTCTTCGATTGCCCTAGGGTTATGTAAAGTACTTCCAACCCTTTGTTCACTCCCATCAAATACATAAACCAAGACATTATTCTCGCCTTCATGTGCATCACCAATGAATAGATTCACAATAAATATTTTATTTCTCGAGACAAAATACCTCAATGATATCAAGTGTATGTCTAGCAAGAAACACTCTGCTACGTATTTCCGCAGGTCATCTAATTTAATTCTACTTTCAATCATAAATGTACATGCATCACCACTAATATAATCCAAAGTCCCATCGATATTTGATTGGAGTTGTCCACTACAAATACAATAAATTAATCTTCTATTACTCATTTTCTTTTGTCCTGCACAATATTTGAAATAATTTATACCCCACAAATAAACAAACTCAAAGATTATATGAATACAACACTAATGACTTTGTGGATACAAACATATATTTTCGATCAATGGGTATTACAAAAGCATCTAGGTCAGTATGTGTGTAAAATTGTCAATACATGTCCAAAACATGTACAACATTAAAAAAGAAGAACCATGCAACATAGCTTCCAGGTTGGCTCTACTCCCATGTTTCATGACACCATAAGGTAGCTACTCCCCTTTCCCCAAATACCTCAAATGGTAGTTAAGTACCCTAAATTTGTGAATAATATTACTAATGATAGTTAAGTACCCTAAATTTCCATAAATCCACATAACTAATTTCAATTTTATGCCAATTACATGAAGTCTAATTTCACAAGAATCATTTGAGATAACAACAATTTCTGCACTATTTTATTTAAAAAAATAAAAAAGAAAAACAACAAGACCCGCATTTTATAACATCATTGACATCAACAACAATTCATCATCATCATTATTGTCCGAGCCTTAATCCAATTATCTAGAATGGGCTCCATCAACGAAAACAACAATTGAACATACAAAATTCCCATAAATTTCACTAAGTTGCCATCAACTATCCGTTATTTCTAGAAATAGCCATAGTTAGCTCAGTACATTAAAAATTACAAATCAAATACAATTTAGGGGTCCTTAGTTTTCATTTTCAATATGCCAAATCTTGAAGGGTCCTACATCACCGACTATTTAAGAATTTAACTAAGCCAAACAAAACAGCCTTTACATCGAATTCTTTGAGCTCAATTGGACCCAGAATTGATGATCTTTGATGTCGAAATTGTTGGAAATGAAGGGTTGTTATAGGATGTTCTATGTATTGCAGTGCATCATTCGGATTTCACAATATTCATTTGAAAATCCATCATTCAGTTTTCACAATATATTTCAAAACCAAGATCGTAGGTTTCTTATTCAGGACGACTTGATTCTCAATCAGGAATGTGAAGGAATGTACAATGAACGCTATATTACAAGAGATTCATTGTCAATGCCAAATCCAATCAAATAACTTAATGCAAAATCAAATACAACAGATTGTCAATGCCAATATAATTCGAATGATTTTATTAAAAAAATAAATAAATTTATCTTAGATAGGGCTGATTTGGGGTAAAATAAAAATCGGGCTCGGGTTTGGGCTAGGACACATATTTTGAGAGCCCAATCTTCTTTTGTAGGGAGACGGAGAGAGCTCGGTAGACGTTCCTTCGAAGATAGAGAGGGGTAAAACTTGTACCCACGAAGTAGGAAGGGGCTCGGGCCTGGGAGATAGAGCATGATAGGAGGGGGGAGGGCCGCAGAGAGAAAGTGAGAGATGGTGAGGATCTCGGGCCGTGAGGGTGAGCTCGGGACCATGAAATAGGAACGGGCTCACGGCCGTGAGAGATGTTGAGGATCTTGGGGCCGTGAGGGGGAGAAATGGGTAGAAATCGAGCTCGGGCCGTGAGGGTGAGAGGAGCTTCTGCGTTACGTGTAAAAGAGGAAGGGTGAAATACGGGTAAATGAGAAAAAGGGTAAGTGGGAAAGAAAAGGGGAAAAGGGTACTTTCGTCTCTTTTTTGTTTTTTTCTGGTTCGGGGGGTTTTTGTGAGGAACTAAGTTGAAGGGAAAAAGTGGGAGACAAAATCCCGAAGGGAGTAACTTGCATGAATAGTACATGCTCGGGGGTTTTTGTAATTTTTCTTTTATTTTATGTTCAAAAAAATAAAAAACGTCAAAAAAAAATTACATTGACAAAAAAAATAAAAGCCATTACAAAAAAATAAAATTTATGAAAAAAATAAATAAAAACTACTTTGACAAAAAAAAAATTCATCAAAAAAAATAAAAGTTACATTGACAAAAAAAGAATAAGTTATTTTGACAAAAAAAAAAAATTAATTTATTTTGACAAAAAAAAAGTTCTCCCGACAATAAATAAATAAAAGTTACATTGACAAAAAAATAAAAACTATGACAAAAAAATAAAAGTTACCTTGACATAAATAAAAATAAAAGTTACCTTGATAAAAAAAATAAAACTTATGACAAAAAAATAAAAATTACATTGACAAAAAAATAAATTTTTGTCCAAAAATAAAAATAAAAGTTACTTTGACCAAAAAAAAAATTATATTAATAAAAAAATAAGATTTACCTTGACAAAAAAATAAAATTTACCTTGTAACAAAAAATAAAAGTTATAGACAAAAAAATAAAATTAACCTTAGACAAAAAAAAAAAAAAAAGTTACATAGGTAGCACCGTCTTCTTATTTTTCTTGTAAAAAAATAAAAATAAAAATAAATACAATAAGTATTTATTGTCAAAAAAATAAATAAAAAAATAATACAACAAGTGTCATGCTTTTTTAAGCATGCATTTGAGCTGCGTTTATTCTAAAAACCTTAAAAAAATTGATTTTTGAAACCTAAAAAATTAGATTTTTGAAAATTGGTACGCATTCTAATAATTTATACATTGATAACCAATCTATATTTTATTTATTAATTTATTTGCAGTATAAATTATGTAATATACTTTTTTTCACAAATGTGAATAATATATTTTAAATTAGATGATATTATAATATATTTTGGATTTGTTATTATTTATATAGTAAAATAATTATAAAATGTAAACCAACCATTTCAATTTTTAGTATATAAGATTATAGTTAGTTAGGTTGTAATAATTTTGGAATAATATTAGTTAGGTTGTAATAATTTGGTTTTTTTTTTAGTTGATTAGGGTTTTCTTTTTAATTCGAGATTTTGGTGGCCATTTTTTAATCGATTTAATTCATTCTTTATTATAGTCCATGTATCATTATATACTTCATACATGATAATTCTATGATTTTTCTCTTGTGTGATGTGAATTTAATTGTTAACATAAGATTGTACAGGGAAATAAGATCTCAATATTCACATATTGATGAAAAAAAATGAAAGTTAATAATGTAGTACCCCAATTTCTTATTGAACTCTTAAAAAACAATATTTATAACGAATTTTAATATATATTTTTGGATTTTTTTAAGGTTTAATTCAATCGATTCGACCGATTCTCGATCCGGATCATCGATTCACCGATCCAGATGGGTTTTTGGGGTGCCCAATCCGGGGCACCGATCCGTTTTTTAAACCACTTGTTAAAGGTGTTTAAAAAATTAAAATTTATTTTCTTAAATAACTGAATTGACGTTTTTATAAAATATATAGCATGCAAGTTTAGTACTAGTAGGAGTAGAAAGGAGAAATAAGTTAAGATTGATTTGCCAAGAAGTACCTAAATATATATTTTTCAATATCCTAGGTCAATAATTTATGAGACTAGAGATTGTTGAAGATGTTGTGCATAGAATTGGATTAGAATGGAAGAAATGGAGATGTGCTTTCGAAGTCATATGTGATCATCATATAGTAATGAAACTGAAGGGTAAGTTCGATAGAATGGCTATAAGACCAACTATATTTCACAAGACAAAATGTTGGGCGGTCAAGAAACAACATATGCATAAAATGAGCGTGGCTGAAATGAAGATATTGAGATAGATGAGTGGCAAGATAATAAATAATAGAGTTCGGAATGAATACATTTGAAGGAACTTAATAGTGGCTGCAATAGGTGATAAGATGAAGGAAATTAGACCTAGGTAGGCTAACCATGTGCAATGTCAAATATAGAACAATACCGGTAAGGATGGGCGATTTGATTCAAGTGGAAAAATTTAAAAGGGTAAAGAAAAGGCTCTCAAAGGATATGGATAGAAGTAATGATAAGTGACATAGTGACCAATAGTCTCACTAAGGGTATATGACCTTGATAGAGTAGAATGATGGAATACGATTTGTATAACTGATCCCAAATAATTAAGATAAAGTTCAAATGATGATGACAATTATTTAAAATTTCAAGTAGATTCTAATATTTTCTTTAAAGAAAACTCACAACTTAAGCTAAGTTTTGTGAAAGTATACGACGAGACCATTCACCTTTAGTACATGGTGGTCTCAATAAACTTTGACCGTTGGATGAGAAATTGGGTGGCTGCATTTATTTCATCGACCAAACCCATAAGTTTTTAACCGAAAGAGCAAGTGTACAGTGAGACCTGCGCAGCGCAAGTATGCATTGATAATTATTCCCTTCTTTTTCTTTTTGGGTACATTTGGCATACAGATGCATCCGTAGCTGTAGAGGGTAAGGTGCACCTTCAAATTTTATCATAGTATATAATTTTGATGTAAAATATTTTTAGGATTATCTCAAAATCTATTTTTATATTTAATTATAAAATTTAAAAATTATTAAAATCAAGTAGATCTATAAATATATGAAAATCTTGAAAATAGATGGTCGTAGATAATATGTTGTAAAATGTATTATTTTATAGACTTAAAATATTATTATTTTTCAGGATGTGGAGATGACCAATTAAATAATTTTTCAATATTAAAACTATCTTTTTACGATGGATTTTGGATTTTTGAGGTGCATCCGTAGCTTTAGAGGTAACGCAGCAAACCGCATATAAACTTTGTCCTTTCTTTTTTAGGTAAATATGCAGCCAAAGTGAAGGGAAAAGTTGACGCCTCAGGGGCACGACCACGACCACAACCACACACTTTCGGTCATGGGCCCGCTACCAAACCATGCTCTGCCGAACCCACCACGACTCACTCTCATGGGCCGCCAGGCGAGGCAATGATGCAAGCCACCTCTCTCTCTCTAGAATACCCTTTCTCTCTCTAGAAACCTACTTTCTCGGGGCGCGCCCGGTCAAAGTAGTGCAGTCGTCTCTCTAGAATACAATGGACCTCGTCATATTTGAGCTGATGATCTCTTTACTTTTACTGGAATGGACCCTCTCCAACTTCCACTATTGCATTAATCCCTCTCTCTTTCTCTCTCTAAATTGAACCAGTCAGTTAGTTGAATGGAACCCTTCCAACTTGTACTATTACATACTTCATCAATAACCCCTCGCTTTCTCTCTGGAATTGAGCTAGTCAGTTGAATGGACCTCTCTCTTTCTCTCTCTCTATAAATGTATAAGATCCTCCCACCGTTTTTTATCAGCTCACAACTCAATATTCCATCCATTCTACACCCTGGTGTTAAGTTTAGAGTTGAAAGATTTGAGGGTTCAAAAACCATGGCCATGGCAGCTGCAAGCTTTGTGACAGTTAAGCAACCCACATCTTTGCCTTGCACATCTGCAGGTGCAGGTCCAAGAGTGAGGGCTACATTATCCCTGCCAGTCTTGGCCCCAAAGACTGCCTCTTCTCCACCCAAGCTTGAAAACAACCACTACTTCTCTAAGAGCACAAGACAGCTGGGCCGGGATCGGACCACCGCGTTTCCGCTAGGGAACGAGAACGACCCTGTGCTCATGGCCAAGCTCCATGAGGTGGCCGACGTTGTTGCCGATAGGGCGGAGATGCATGCTAATTTAGCCGAGCAGAGGAACAATTGGAACACTCTTCTTCTCAACTCCACCAATTCGATTACCCTTGCGGCCGCCACAATGGCGGCCCTCGCCTCATTTCCCAGCTCCCATCTCTCGCTCGCCCTCTCCTCCACAGTCCTCTACTCGGCAGCCACCGCAATGGTGTGCCTGACTAGCAAGATCCAGCCTTCTCAATTATCAGAGGAGCAGAGGAATGCCGCCCGCCTCTTCAAGAGCCTCCACATACACATCCACTCCACTCTGAGCCTTCACCCGTCTCTCCGCCCGGAGCTCTCTCAATTTCTGGAGGACGCCATGGAGCAAGTGTTGGCCCTCGACAGAGCCTATCCCCTGCCATTGCTCCCCGGCATGCTCGAAAAGTTCCCCTCCGAGGTGAAGCCCACGGTGTGGTGGCCCAAGAGAGCTGCTCCTCCTCCTCCTCCTCCTCCCCCTCCTAAAACAGAGGCGGCTGTGAATAATAATAATGGATGGAGCAATGATATGGAGACGGAGATGGCAGAGGTGGCGCGCGTGCTGAGGGAGAGGGACACTGCAGAGTACGTGAGGCTGAGCAAGCTGGTTCTGAACTGCAACAGGGTCATGGCCGTCGCTGGGCCTGTTCTGATGGCCGCTGCATCGGTAGGGTCGGCACTTGGGGGCTCAGCTACCGTGGGGGCGGTGGTGGCCGGCGCATTGGCGTGCATTGTCAACAGCTTCAGCCATGGTGGTCAGGTGGGGATGGTGTTCGAGATGTACAGGAACAACGCCGGCTTCTACCAGTTACTTGAGGAATCGCTGTTGTCTTCGCTCAGCAAGCCTCCGGCTGAGAGGGAGCACGCGGAGGTGGTGGAGACGAGGCTCGCCCTTCAACTCGGGCGGAGCCTCTCATCTCTGCGCAACTTGGCCTCCTCCCCTTCTTCTTCTAAGGGCCCAAAAGAGTTTGGGAGCAAGCTCTTCTAATCACATCAGATCAGACTCTCAACAAAAATGAGTTTCAATCTTTGATCTTCATTGTGTTCATATCATTCATTCGTTCTTCATACTGTAAAGATTCATTCATTTACTTTTTTGAAACAAATTCATTCATTTACTTATTTGTAAGACTCAGATCAATTCAAAATTGTGAGGTTGTGAAGTAGAAAGACGAGCATTGTATCTCCTGATACTTGGCCATAAAAATGGATCTTCATTGATTGCATCCTTCCACCTGATGATCTCGACATTGTTATGTAGCTGTCCTTGATAGAGATTTCGTGTCAAGTATTCATTTAGAAAAAAAAAAAATCAAATAGGTTCAATACCATCTACAAGAGGTGCAACTATAAATTTCCAATTAGTCATCAACTCATACAATTATTTCAGTTTCCACGTTAATTAAAGGTGCAACCTTAAGCAATGCAATTAAGGTTTACCTCTAAATTTTATCACAACATGTCATTTTGGTGTAAAATATTCTTAAGCTTATCTTAAAATCTATTTTCATATCTAATTATAAAGTTTTAAACTCAAAAAATAATTAAAATCAGGTAGGTCGATATACATATGAAAATCTTGAAAATAGACGATCTAGATCATGTATTGTGAGATGCACTATTTCAGGGATTCAATATTTTATTTTATTTTATTTTTCATATTCATACATCTCGATGTTGTGATGATCAATTAGAGGATTTTTCAACATCAAAACAACCTTTTCCATATATTTTTGAGGGAGAGAGAGAAAGATGAAGATAAATATAAAAAAGAAATAGAAATGAAAGAGATAAACATGATAAAAGAATTATATAGCCGAATCAGTGTTTGATTACTCTACCTCTTTCATCTCTAATTTTTGAGGTAGAGAGAGAAAGATTTTCTACCTCTAAAAACAGAGGACATAATAGATTTTTGAGATAGAGAGAGAAAGATTTTTTGTATATTAGAGAGAGAAAGATGAGATAAACATAAAAAAAATTAGAGATGAAAGAGATAAACATGATAAAAAGATTTACTGTATTTTAAGTGCCGTATAAAAAGGGTTAGTTTTTACGGTACTTAAAATGCCGTATAATAGGTTTTAGTTTTTTCGATACTTAAAGTACCGTAATTGGTTTTACGGTCATGGCCAGAGTTTTGTATTACTTGAAGTTATTATGGTATTTTAAATACCATAAAAATGATATGTATTACGGTACTAAAAGTATCGTGAATGTCATTTTGGTAAAAAAAAAAGTCGAAAATGAGGAAACTTGATGTAGATGAGGTAAACAAAAGTTTGGGGTTTTTTTTTCCAATTAAGCTTAAATTAAAGTATGTTTGCGATAATTTTCATAAATTTTACATGATATTATGACCATAATATTACTTGAAAAAAATATTATTTCACATTTTGGGATAGTACTTTCTATCAATTTATTATATGCCAAAAAAAAAAAAAGACGGATTATTTCCTATTGTCATAATGGGACGATATTTTTAGATATATAATGTGTATCATTAGATGCGTTGTTAATTAATTGATAAATACTATCATTACATAGTTTATGCGTTACTATAGGAATAATGTGATATATGAAAAAAAAATGTAAATGTCAAAACTTCAAATCTCAACCAATATTTAATATTATAAGAGTAATGATCCTATGAGACCCTTCCACACCCATGTGTGTAGGACCTCAAAAGATCACCATTAAATTTGACACATATCTTTAAAAAAGCTATCACACGGGTGTGCGACGTGATTTTTTTAGAGATATATGCCAAATATAATGGTAATCCTTTGGAGTCCTACACATAGGCGTGGGAGGGTCTTATAGGATCATTACTCCTACATATTATAATTGAAAACAATAACAAATAACATAAGCCAACTATTAGATTGAAATTTCACATGCCCAAAAAAAAGAGTAAAATACGCACAAAAAACCCTAATCCGCCATCCTTTATGGTTTTATTTCAAATGCCAACTAAAAGCTTTAAAACTGTTCCAAAATACTCATAATTCATCCCACTAACAAAGCCCTAAATATTAGGTTTTTTTAGTCCCAAAACTCAAATCTACCATTAATCATATTTTTCCCCAAAATAATATACAACCATGCTTTAGCACCTGGTGCACTAACAAACACCAGCTTGACTTTGGGAGGTGGTGATTTAGTAACGGGTGGAAAAGTATATTCGGTACCTATTTCACTCGAAACCGCATATTTTTTGGTACGCCACATTTACAAATTTGTGAAATTTTGGCCAAACGTTCGTAGATGTGGAGCTTCATATGGTCGCTCCACATAGAGAGAGAATAAATAAATGAGAAAAAGGGCCGGACGGGGTTTTGGGGCATTCCAATAGTTGTCCAGTATTAATACCAGACCTGTTAGACCGACACTCTAGTGTTCGATATCAATACTATTGGTTAGCAAAAAAAGCTAGCTTGTTCGGTGTCTGAAACACTAGACAAATACATGCTTGCAAAATTATAGCATTTATTACCTGGCATTGTTATTGTCGGACAGAAAGGCAACTTAAAAAAGAAAAAAATATCCCAAGGTGCTCTTCGTAATTTATGGATAAAATGACATCTAATGGTAATATACGGACAAGCAAAGTGTCCATACATGGATCGTTAAATAAATAAATAAATAAGGTCATACGCACTATGGACATTCAGGTATTTCGTTAAAAGGTCGGAGCCTTTATGGGGAAGGGTACTCATAATTGTTTTCTAATTAAATTAAATTATTAACTGCCCACAAGCTAATTTTGCTGGAAACGTAGGTAACGTAAGACTCTAAGAGTCCCTGATATTTATTAACTTCAATCTAAGAAACTGAAAAACAAACAAATTCAAGAGCTTTTTCAGCTTGAAGTAAATGGACGCTCAAACTTCCATTTTAAAGAGTGAGAAATACTTTTGGAACTTTAATCCTTCTTTTTTAGCTGCAAGCAATGCATGCATGAAAACGTGACCAGGCTGGTGAGTCATGCGTGAGTTAACAAGTACCAGTCTCAACCAGCTCCTCGTTTGCTGTGGACTGGCGGCAGGCCGGGGCCTGAAGAAGGATGTCCCAAGCCCAGCCCACAAGCCGAATTCTCGTCCTGTGGCCTTGGTTACTTGGCACGGCCCAACCCTACTTTTGAAGTGGGGAGCCTCGTGAAAATCCCAAAAAAAAAGAAAAAGAGAGAAAATCTCGAACATGAGATAGAACATTGCTTGATAGTTTTTAGAGAATGGAATAGCTTGCAGACTTGGGCTTCTAGCGGTGATTAACAATCTAACACCCTTTTTATATTTTTTGCTTTAATTTAAAGTACTCATGAAATAATATATGGTCTAGTATTAGAATAATTTCAAAAGTAAATTGTTAAATAGTTCAACTCTTATGGATAATTTTCTAAATTTATTAAATAAATGAAATGCAATAATAACAAGAGAGATGGTATTGAAGGGCATATCACTCGTCCATAGAACTTCATTTTCTCAAGAAGAAAGGTATTGAAGGGCATATTTGATAGAGACAAAAATAATCAGGAAGCGTATCATAAACTTTTTTGAGTATATTTGAAAGGTAAATATTTTTATAAGGTATGACTTGTAATTCTATAAGGCTAAAAAAAAGCAAGGATACGTTCAAAAGGACATGGTTGAAAGTAGTGAGAAAAAATACAGGAATTTATGGCCTCACAAAGAGTAGGGCCTTTAGCAGAACAAAATTTATGTAGCCGATTCTAATTATTTTGATGATGTGATGATCACGTGTACAAACTTTATAAAAACCTCTGTAGTTTAAATGAGGGGCATTACGAGGAACAAACAAATAGAATAATACAACCCTGCAAGATTTCCTAATCATGTAGTGTATTATTCATTTACTCTCTTGGGAAAAACTTACATTAGGAATATCTTTTAGATCTCAAATTTTAGGGATGTGATTTTTAGAACCCAGCAACCAATCTCAAACATAAAAAAAAGAATAAATATCTCAATCTTGTAGGTCTAAAAAAATGGTGTGTTAAGATTTGCTATGGAATCATCCAATTTTTGGAAGAAATGATCAAGATATTCAAAAACTCAAAATCTAAAATTTGTTCTCATGAAGTAATCATCTAGTTCTAATAATCGTGGATCTTGAAATTTCAAATAAAAAAGAATTTTTTTAAAACCCATAAGTGCTTTGCTTGAGGGAGTTAATGTATAGCGTGCTCCCAATAGACCATAGTATATACGCCCAAGGGAAAAAAACAGAAAAAAAAGCCTATCAGACAAATGGCCGTGGTACTCACCACAAATTTGATCTAGACCGTCCATTTAGATCGGGGCATTGCTGTCATTACTACTATTCAGGGGTATTTTAGGCATCTTCTCAGGCAAAATCAGGCATCCCCCTCACTCTCTCTCGCAAAGTGCTACAAGCGCAGGCCTCATTGCAGACGTGCGATCTGATAGCATTTTGCCATGAAACCTTTGATTCTCAATCACTGCAAACCCTAATTCTCAATTCATAGTTTCCATTGACTTTCTGTAGTAAAATCTCTGAAACGGGAGGTCCTTGCGGGTCAAACTCTTGCTCTGCTCAGTTTATTTAATTTTCATTGAATTTAGGTTGTAATAATATTGCATTCTCGTTTTTGATTCCTGGGTTTTGTTTTATTGATATTCTGTGCTCTAATTGTCAGGGAATTCGGTCTTCATTTGCTGAAGTAGAAGATCCAGGCTGGTTGAAGTTGTTGCTCTTGTTAGACTCGTTAGATATTCATCTTCTTCCCTTTGATTAGAAATTCTTTATTCGGAGTTTGATTTTAACTTTAAGGGTTTTCTGTTTGTTATCTGTGTTTGCTATCTTTCATTAGTTATATTGAATTCAGAAGGTTAAGTTATAAAGAATCAAATTTATATTGGTTTAAGGACGGTGTTTTGACAAGTAATTGTGATCTTGGGTCCATTTGATGAGACTATATTCCTAATTCGGTGTCTTCTTGATTGGTTTTGTGGCACTTTTCAATCTAGAGTTGGTGATGAAAGTTAAACGTTGGTATTGCTTCAGTGAATTCGTTTCAAGTGCATTTGGGTTTTGTGACAGCTGACTAGAATTGAGAAGGAATAATTTTTCGTCTTCTGTTTATGGTTAACACAAATTTACCATAGACAAACTGAATGCAATAAGAACATTTTCTTCCCAATGCATTCACATTTTAATTTTTTTTTCCCTTTTATAAAAGGGGTGGGAATGGAACCCTTGAGATCATGTTGTGGCTCCAGGACCTGATTAATGATTTATTTTTCCGTCAAAAAGCCAAAAGTAGCATTAATGGGGTCTACATGAGTAGGGGGGTTTCTGAAATATATGCTGCCTTAGTTTTTGTTGTGATGCCTTCTTTTGTGCCACAAGCTATTGTTATAACAGTGACTGTTACCTACTGATAATGATAGTTAACAATAACTGAGATATAGGGGCATTTAGAAACACACAATCCTTTGTCTTTGTTCCATAAATATTTTCTTCATTGGATCTTCTTTGAGTGATTATTACTTCCAGATAATATTTCTATACTTTGCATCTCCAATGCATGGATATCTGTTGCTTTTGTCATCAGGTTACCATTTGTCAAATGGTGTTGATAAGGCAAACATACTGGCACATTGTTGTTACAGAAAGTGGTGGTCCTCACAATTCTTAGGAGTATGCTGATTAATTCTTGATGCATATTTTGACCTGAGCCATGGGAGATATGGCTTCAGGGAATCTTGAAATGGCCAATGAGCTTTGCTATGGAATCTCTTACTCAGATAACACTCATGATGAGCTTATACAGAGTATTCTGGAATTAAAATTTCAAAATGAGTATTTGAAGGCTCACTTTACTGGCTCACAAGGTCAGCATTTTGGATATGCTTGCAATATCAAAGAGGCCACTGAAAATGGGGAACATATAACTTCCGAAGATTTTGAGGCATTGCACGAACAGATACGCACCTTGACTAGACAAGTTGAGGAGCATCGAGAAACACAAAATGCTGCTGAAGATGCTTTGAAACATCTTCAACTGGCTTACTCTGAGGCTGATGCGAAAGTTCAGGAGCTTTCAAGCAAACTCTTTGAAGGTCAGATCTCCTTTTAAAATTGCTGATAACATGAGTTGATTGTGTGGGCACGGTATTTTGTTCTAAGAATTGTTGGTTAGTCTGTCCTTTACTTACTTGGGTTTACCTAAAGAGTGACCATGACATCTATTTTGGGATCGACATGACTTGTTATTCCCAGTTTGGTATGATAATGCTTAATGAAATTATCTTCTCTGTTGCAAAACTAAGTGAGAATATGTTGACACTTTTTGTGTTCTTAAATAAATACGCACTGAGGCAAGCACCCAAAGAAGAAAAGAACGAAAAAATGATACAGATGGGCATGATGACATAATAGTTTACTTATGATTGTTTTTATTTGGATGTGATGCAATGACCTTGATCATACAAGAGGCCTCCCATTCTTCTAAACTAAAATATGGCTTTTTAATGATTTAAAGAAGTAGGTGTTTTTCTGTTGTGCAATGTTCAAGTATGGAAGACACACTACTAAAACTCGATAAGAATAAAGGGTGTGTTAAAGCTTGAATCTGGTGTTACTAAAACTACACTGGCCCCTGGCTTTCGCGTCATTTTGATCAAACAATGACCTTCACCAGGTCCGCAATGGAACTCTTCATTCATAAGTTCAGCCCTTGTGCACTCTTTCCCTCACTTTACCACAAATTCTGCAATAAATATGTGCTATGAACTACATGGTTCCAGAGCTGCCTCTAGAGTCATCTTTCCCGCTCCTTAGTTCTTAACTTCTTATCCATGAGTTATAGATTAGCAAAAGAAAATAAGGAAAAAATTAGAGGTTTTCCTCATAAGTTCAGCCCTTGTGCAGTCTTTCCCTACTTTATCACAACTTCTGCAATAAATATGTGCTGTGAACTACATGGTTCTAGAGCTGGTTCAACTGTTGGGGCCTTCTGCCTCTAGAGTCATCTTTCCCACTCCTTAGTTCTTAACTTCTTATCCATGAGTTGTATATTAGCAAAAGAAAAGAAAAGGAAAAAATAAGAGGTTTTCCTCAAAGAATACCAAGATGTCTAATCTTTTGCTTGTCATATCACTATAATAGTCACACTTCATTCTTTTCTGAGTTCTTGTTGTTGCGAATGTTGTTATTGCAGCTCAGCAAAAAATGGACCAAGAAATAAAAGAGCGTGATGATAAGTACAGTGAACTGGATTCGAAGTTTGGAAGACTCCATAAGAGAGCAAAGCAGCGCATACAAGAGCTTCAAAAGGTAAATTTCATCTTTGCACTGGTCATTCATTTGTCTTCAAGTTATTACTCTACCTGAATATTGTGTTTCTTAGGACCAATATTGAGATTGTACCCTGCCCCGGTGCCTTTAATGTAGAGACTAGAGATTGTGAGGTTTCATGAAGTGGAGTAATTTTGTGAATCCGCAGAGGTCTATAGTTTACCCCTTGTGACTGGTCTCAGGTTCTCAAGTTCTTTCGGTGTGGCACTGATTATTGTAGAGTACTCACTTGATGTCATTAGGTGGGCCAAGGGTGAGTGTCCTCCTCTGTGGAGATTAGCTAATGCTATGAAGGAGATTGCAGATATTTTGTGGAGATAGAGTGGTGGCATTTCAAAATATGCACCAAGGGTTGGCAATGCTTTGGGCGTCCATTACTATTTCCACCCCCCCCTCCACCTAGAAGGGAAAAAAAAAAAAACCAATAAGAAAAAAAAGAAAAGAAAAAAGAAAAAAATCCGGAAAGAAAAACTGAAGGATAAACATGGTGGATTTTGGTGTATTGGTAAGACTGGATGGGTGCATGAAGTTGTCCTTTAGCAGGTCTGTCGACTTGATTCAGGATATCTTTCCCATTAACTAGATCAAACTGTAACGATTCATGATGTACTATACTGGTTTTTATATACTAAGAACCGCCATTAGAGGGTTTTATCTCCTTCGTTTTTGGTGGAGAAAGGTAAAATATTGCCAAAACCATGCGCATAACATATATCCTGCACACTACTTATTACGTCGTAGGAAACTTGAATGGTGCTGACTTAGTTTGGTCATAGCGATATCTAAGCCAAGAAGTTCAGGTGGATATTGATTTGTTGCCTCATGTTGTTTGTGGGAGGAAAATGAGTGTTGGCGTGGTCAACTTTTTGAATGTTAATGTTTAACTAGATTTGTATCATTGCTTATATTTGGTCATTTTTGGAGGTATTTAGTGCATGTTTGATAACCGGGATAGTAGTCTTGGATTGGCTATCTTGGAATGGGCCCCAAAACCTTGTTTGGCAACTAGGTATTGAACTACAAATAGGAAATAGAATTTCCTCATCCCCAATAATTGGGGATGCTGGAATTTTTAGTGGTTATGGGGAGATGGAATTCTTCCGTTCTAGTGGCAGGACCCACCAACCCCCCCCCCCCCCCCCCCCCACCGCCACCATCTCATTTTCTCCCTCTCTCTCTACACCCTCTCACTAGCTCTTTGTCCACTTTGCTGCACTGTGACCTCTCTCTTGTCCTTGTTTCTTCTCGAAAGCTCAGAAGGCCGAGGGGGAGTAAAAGAAAAGATAGCTCCTAGGAAGGAGCTGGACCAGCTCCACCTCTTCGTCTCTGAGAAATCTTCTCCCATGAAGCTTGTGTGGAGGCTCTGTGATGAGATTCATGACATGATGGTGAACTTTTGGAACCCTCATAACCAAGGTTTGAAAAGTTCAATCTGCAACCGGCTAGGCTCCCTCTTGAACCAGCCGGCTGATTGACAAAACCGGTCAGATTTGTCGGAGCAGAACTGGCTGGTTCTGACCTAAACCGGTTTTAACAAGGGAGACTTTAGTGGGTTTTAATTTTTTGTGGCCCGCCCCCATATTTTTAGATTTTTTTTGGTAGAGGGGCGGTGGTCCACCCCTATTATTTTTATTGTAAAAAAGGTTGCCACTTTAACTGGCCCCAACCAATGTAACGCACATGCGTCATCAAGGCGTTAAACTCTCACTGTCATTGTGCGTGATGCTTTTATGGAAGCTCTCACTCCTACTAATATTAGATGTGGGACAAATTCTTCCATTTCTTCACTTTGAGTAAATGTCTACAACAACTGTGGGACAAAGTGGTCATTCAAATTGATACCATTTAAGTGGACAAAGTGGTCATTTTTGAGTGGTCATTCAAATTACCCCAACGTAATGATGTGGGACAAATTGAGTCTACAACAATTCAACGCATGGCAAAACTTTGGGATCAATTTTACATATGAGACATTTTACAAACCTTTGGGAGCAATTTTATATACGAGACATTTACAATGCCTGGCAAACTTACATAGATATTTACATAATTTATTACTTTATTTATTCACATAGTTAACATTTCATGGCAAACTTACATATATATTTACATAATTTATTACTTTATTTATTTACATAGTTAATATTTAAAGCTATGTTATTTATATAGTTTATTTACATAGTATAAACTTGGCTATATTTTCTTGAAGCTATAGTTTAAATATAGTTAATCTACAACATAGTTATTTTGAGCCATAGCTAATTTTAAAAATTTACAACATCATTCTAAATTAGCTAATTTCTAATTATTTTACGCCATAGCTTATTTAGACCATGTAGCTTTGATTTTATATCGTGTAGCTAATTTTCAAAGCTGTATAAAAAAGCTTCTATGGTGTAAAGAAAACTTTGCCAGCAAAAGATTAGGACAATACGACACTTGGTTTTTTTTTTTTAACATTCAAAGGAAATTAAGACAATGCAAAGGAAGAAAGAACCCTAAAAATATTCAATGGTCAACTTACGTCTAGACATGAAAATGACGTCTCAATATTCATGTATTTTTGTAAAATCATGAAAGTACATAATGCATCACCTTTTGAAACTCAAACAACACTATTTTAAGGGAATTTTTGAAATTTTGTTAGGCTGAAACTTGCCGATTCTCTGATTCGGATTGCTGATCCACCAATCCGACTCCGTTTTTGAAGTGGCTGATCCGGTTCACCGATTCGTTTTTTTAAACCTTGTTTATAACATTTTGTCAAAGTTTTTGGTGTTACTTCTGTATCTATTTGTTGATTTTCTCTGTCATGGGTTCTTCCCTTCTTTGTTTCTAAGCCTCTCTCTCTCTCTCTATATGTGTGTGTGCGCGCGTGCGTGCTCTATATGTTCCTTTCTCTTATGTACTCTTCTAATGAACCCATTTCAATGGAGCTATACTCTCTGAAGATTCCTTCCTATTCAACAATGGCGACATATGTCACCCTCGAGCACATCTCAATTCTCTATCTTCATGATTCAAACTAATCTTCGCCAATTTGCAATGATTTCTTTACCAAATGAGAAATGGAGCTCTCTCTCTCATATGTTATGATAACATGATTTAGCAAGAAGAAGTAGAAGAGGAAGAGAAAGAGGAGAGGGAAAGTGCAAGATGTTTTTTGAATCTTAATACCCCATTTTGTATATTAATCACAATAAATGAAATGAACTTTGTTTTGATCATGTTTGTGCAGAGGCAAATACGATATTTCCATCCCTACAAAACAGGAAGAAGACATCTCTAATGATCTACAAAGGCAAAGAAATTTTACCAAAAATTGAATAAGTTTTGTGGCATGATCTGCGATCCTTATTTTTGGATAAATATTGAGCTTTAAATAACCCTAAATCTCTGCTTTTAACCTCTTTTGATATTGAAAAAAAAGAATCAAATCCAAAAATGAATTTGATCTGCACAAAGATTTTTTTCTTTTCTCGATCTTCAAATATTTTTCAAAACTGAAAGCTTTAATTTTTTATTTTCTTATTAGGAAAAAAAGAATTTTAGGGAGCCATGAGGGGGTTGGAACACCACCCCCTCCTCTTTTCCAAAACAATGTCGTTTGCCCTCCTTCAATATGGGGAGCATTTTCTGCCCTTGGGGCTTGGGCAGCTGAGGTGGGTAGGCCCTATGAGAGGCGTGTAGGCCCCTGCCCGCTGTAAGGGTGCCCCTAGGGCGGCAGGTGCTTTTGACACTTTGTATTAGGTTTTTCTGTAGTTGTTAAACATGCTAGTCTTTTCTTCCAATGGATGAGAGAAGTCACGGGTTCATAGGTGTGAAGATGCATTTCTGATTCAGAAAGTGGTGTCATTAGAATCATAACATTGATCTAATCATGTGGCTCGTTTTGATTGTGGTGGTTGTTTCTGGTCTTACTATCAAAGAAGAGGATTTTTCAATTTGCGTCATGGTTGGGGATCTGTGGTTGATTGTTTTGTTTCTCAATCCTCTAGTTGAGAGCAGTTCTCATCAATTGATTAGGTTCTTGTGGGAATGGGGCATCTATGCAGTCTTTCATTGTTCTGAGAGGACTAAGGAGTTCTCAATCTTTTCTAGGCACATCACTGTAAATTGATTAGCCATAAGAACATGATTTTGTGGTGCGGACATCCAGTCTTTCACCATTCATTATGTTGTATTTTTTTTTTCTTTCATGTGGTCTTATATCATCATTGAAAAGTGAAAATGAAACAATCTTTATCTCTGTTCTTTCTTCAGGAGAAAGATGATCTGGAAGCTCGTTTGCATGAGGTGGATAAGAAGGCTGAGCAAACATCATCTCAACATTCTGTAGCTCAACAAGAACTGGAGCGTACCAAGCAACAAGCTAGTGAAGCTCTGAAATCTTTGGATGGGGAAAGGCAACAATTACGAACGGCAAATAATAGGTAGCTAAGTGTTTATTTTTTTAATGGTGCAGAAACCAAATGAAAGCATATCACATGAAATGATGAATATATGGACAGCATTTTTGCAGTTGTGCACTAACACGTGTCATCACATTTGGTTTTTGCTGTATGAATTACTTTTTTGTGTGTGGTCATTGTAGGTATGAACATTTTTCTTGTACCTAGCTTTTGTATATGGTCATCATGGATACAAACACTTCTTTTCTTCCTAGCTGTTCTCACTGTTCAATTTCTTGCAGACTTCGAGAAAGCGTTGATGATCTTCATCGGTCATTGGAAGCTAAGGAACATGCCCTTGAAAACTTGCAGCAGTCACTTATAGAGAAAGAGCAGGTCTTACACTCTTAAGTACATTCCAGGATATCGCGATTGTCTTTATAGTATTCACCTTACTTTTCTATCAGATGGATAAACCCTGTATGTTTATCTCTGCAAAAGTTACTTTTAGTTCTCTCTGTGCTTCTCAAAGTAGAACTGGTTCATTTTCCACAGTTGTCTTGAATCTTCAGAACTCCTATGAAGAATGAGCAAACGGAAATAAATAATGGTCATTTATGATGATAAATGCTTTGGACATGACGTGAACTTTTTCTTGCAAATTTACTTACAAATAGTATTATGCTCCATGCAGCATTGGTAAAACATCAGTCTTATTTTATAGACCTTAGAGTAATAGGTCTTCGTAAGCTTTCTTAACTTGCTGGCTAAACTTTTTATGTTTTCAAAATATTTTCTGATACAAGGTGCCATTCTGAAAGGGCCGAACCTTTTCAGTTCTGTATATTTCACCCATTTGTCTGTTGCTTCATGCATGTTCACACACTAATAATGATTATCAATTGGAATTTATGGTATGCGATCTTGGATCAAACAAAGATAAGCTCAACCAGATTTGATGCCCATGGGCCTATCCAATTAGTGGTAGAAGAGTGATTACAACAGCAGAGTTGTAGAAGAGTTACTACGGCAGCAGAGTTTTTTTACAACCTGCATGGGTTTCCTTGTCCTCATGATCTGTAATTGGCCGTCAACCAACTGTTTGAAGTCTATCTTCTTATTTCATATCGTGCGAGGAGTTGGGGGTAGTAAAGATGGGATGTGTGAGACAAGGTAGAGGTGAATGGATGTGCCGTTATGAATGATATGCTGGATGGAGTGTCTTGATCTACTCTGTGCAAAGGGGTTTGGGCCCATGTCGTGATGGGAACTGTATTTTGCGTCTCTCTGAAGGACCTGACAGCACACTGCAGGCAAGTTGCTGAATACATATGAGCAGGAGAGGAGAAGCGCTTATGGAGCGTAATGGTGGCAGTAAGATCAGTTTTAGAGGAGAAACAGAGTGCATGGAAAACCATCAGCAGGGTGTTGCATTTTGTGGAAGTTGTGAGTACTGTTCTGCAAAATCAAGGTAGTAAAAAAAAAATCAACAAATAAAAAATATTATTGAGTTAAGTACCTGAGCGGTTTGTCCTGGCAGTGACTTCATATGTCTTAGTTACTATAACAGTTCAGGGGTTTTGGCATGAATGATTTGGACTCCATACCGAAGGCAATTGTGGAAGGATGTGGTCGAATGATTTTTAGGTTTGTCATCTGGATACAGCATCCTACTGGCTCCAAGTGGCTCAGGCGAGTCCAAGCTTGGGTCAGTGATTTTTTAATTGCTTGCTACTGTCCGATCATAGGTTGGATCAAGAAACGAGAATCCCTGGTGGCTGATTGTGGATATCAGTGTAGGTCATGGGGTGTACATTTTGAGCCCATTGAGCCTATAGCTAGATTTTTGCCAGATGTATCTATTAGATCCATTAGATTTGAGAAAAAACAAGATTCGATAGATTACAGTGATTTAAATCCAAAAAATGTATAATCCATGTTTTCACATTACATACCCATATGCACAATGAGAACCCTATAACCTGAAAGTCCCATAAAAATTTGAGAAAATGAGCTTGTATGGTCATGATAAACAAACTTAAGAATCGCCCGAGTCCCTGTTCTGAACAGGCAAGATAGGGCTATTAATTACAGCGAGAATCATCCATTTCTGGACAACCCAGGCAATTCCTCAGTTCGGAACCATGCCAGACAGGTACCCTCCCAGGTTTTATCTAACTCAGGCGATTTTGTGTAAGCTCATCAGTTTGCAACCACTGAGGCAAACCATGACCATGGAAACAGAAAACAAAAATTGTTGCTAGGTGGACACAGTTGAGAAGATAATCAGAAAGCAAAAGTTGAGCATAAAATCGAAGATGCGAGGTTCGAAATTCAAAGACTTTTGAAACTCCTCCTGGGATTGTCATCCCCTCAAACTAGGATTGCACCCCTATTTCAGGTGGGGTTATGATCCCCTTCCATGGGGACCAAGATCGGATTGAGATCCCTTGATTGGCATGAGTGAGCTCTACTTGGCCACCAGCTCTTGGATCGTATGAGAGGGATTCCAAGGGGAGATCGCCACCCCCCAACCGAGCTTCTCGCATCTATTTTCTATACAACTAATTGCTTATGATTTATGAATTAAAATATGTTGGGAAGTACAGTTTCATAGATATGAAACTCTTAAAACTAAAATTTTGGTTCAAGTTCCATAAATTGAATTTCGTCAAACATTTAAATCAATTAGAAAGATGCCACTAAGAAATGGAAATACAAGTCCCATTGAAGTGATGAGAAAGGAATAGTGGGGGAGGGGGAGGATATGTACCAACTAATATCAAGATGGACACTCAATCTGTATGTTTGGAGGGAAAATGTGCTCATGTTTACCTAAATATTGACAGTGGATTTGAACGTATTAGAATTGATATATGTGGTGGACACCTTGTTGATGGATACTGAATACCTCTTGTTCACATTTTTCCTTTCGGTATGACATATTTGGAAATACTGCCATTTAAGGTACATTGGATGATGGAAAAAAAAACACTGTGCTGGATGTGATTGACATATGAACCTTGAGTTGGAAGCGAAATCATTGTGATGGGGCTAAGAAGAATTTGTACATGTAGTATGGTGCTTAATGGCAATGAATTTTTGGTACTTCCCTGGTAGTAGGTGATGAGTCTATATTCTAGCCTTTTGCATTTTTCTTTTATCAGTTGTAATTCATGATATATAAAACCATTATAGTAAAATCCAAATGAAAGACGAGGGAGGTGGATGATGGCACAGCATTAATTCTTCCCTTTCTACCATCTTTTGTGTGCCTATATGCCACAGCATAGGGCATGGCAGTAATCTCGACTACAAAACTTGTTAGCCAGTCTTGCATTTCACCTAAGATTGTAGCCTGATTCCATGAAAATCAGGAATTTTCGCTGGTCTGTCACCGCCAGAATGCATGGCCCAGTAAACTTTCTATTCGTAACGTTCCCAACAGTGTGTATGCTTTGCTCATAGTTGAATCCACCATTCCAAGAGCATGCATGCTTCAGTTGACATGTACTAGGAACTTTTTGTGCCCTCCTTTCAGTTTAAATTTAGATATGACCTTTGGTCATTTTTTAACAATGGAGAAATTTCTTTGACCATTTTATTTACTGTTCATTCGATAGATAATTACAGCTGGTATTATTATTATTATTCAACCATCTCTTTTGCTGTTCATTTGAAAGACAAATATAGCTGGTATTATTCTTTGTTGGTTTCTCATGTGCATATCTACTTACCATGCCTGGGATCATTGACATCTTGTTTTAATAAATTAGGGCAGGTGTTGAATCATTAATTGATTTGTTAGTCATGCTAGTATAAATAAATTTGTCCTTGACATCGAGGATATAGTTGTATTTTATGCCACATGAATGATGTCGATTTTTCTTTTTCGGGATCTTATGACGCTTGCTGTCAAAGATAAAGTGGTGCTCATGTTGTATTTTACTTGATGTTTCTCAGATGGTGCAAGAAATTCAAGTTTTATTGCAATCTAGTGAGGAAAAGCAACAGAGTTCTATTGCAGAGCTAAATGCTAAACACCAGAAGGTATCCTTGCTTTTATTGAGAGCCGATGATTTTTACTTCTGTTATTCTTTTCGAAAATTTCTTGCTGGTATAAGTACATAATATTAACCAACTTGGGTTATCTGCTTCTGGTTCTGTTTCATTTTGTTGTGGTTGTCTATTGATCCTCCTCCAGCTTATAGGAAGTCTAGAAGCCCAACTTGCCGATGCATCATCTGAAAGGTACAAAGCATCTGAAACAGTCTCATCATTGCAGGTAAAAATAAATTAGCCCAATAGTGAGATTTAACAATATTGTTCTTGAATGATAAGAAAAGCACTAATATTTCTAAATGTGATGTCATCTCATTTATATTCATGGACAGCTGAAAGGTGTTCAAGATGAATTTTTCCTTGTTATGAAATGCTTTTGGGATTTAAATGCATTCCTCATCAATCATGTATTGCTTTAAATTTATTTATGCTTCTATAATTTTAAATCGGTAGCATAGAGCAAATATTTGTATTATTTGTACTTCATGGTTACTTCCTACAAACAATATATTCCAATATTTTCTGATGTGATATTGTCATTCGAAGGTTGCACAAGATCTTCAGAGCTGATGCAAAGGAACATGTGATGAATCATTCTAGATAAGAGTTGAGTAGTTGATGCAGGGCCATCATTTCCGTCATGAAATAGATCATTAAAATCATGTCTCACATGGATAATCTCAATAATCTGAGTGGTGGACTCCATCTCTGTAATAGAAATAAATTGTGCCAAAGAATCCAACCTTAAACTTGATCATTGGCCTAGACAATGCAAGCTTGCCGTATTTATTACAAGGTCTAGAATAACGGAACTGATGTACTCTCTATTCTAGGAGAGCATTCATGTTTTTGAAAAGGTGATGTATATGAATAAATATATAGTAAGAGTTTGTACAATAATGGGAGGCTTTAGTGGCCACTGGGGCCTCTGGTGGCATCTGGGTAATCTGGGACCCCACGGTCCACTCCCTCTCTACCTTTCTCGGTGACTTTGGTCCTTGCCAGAATCTCTGACGGTCTGGTATGGAAATCGACTACAGTTTATGGCCCTAATGCGGATGGTCTTAGAAGCTCCTTTTGGGAGGAAATTTCTTCAGTTGCCTCCCTGATCTCAAATATTTGGTGCCTACACGGTGACCTCAACACCAATAGGTGGTCCTATGAGCAGAACTTGAAACCCTCTATTTTCATAGCATGATCCAGTTTTTCAACTTCATCTACTCCTTTAACCTCTTAGATATTCCCCTCCAAGGAGCCCGCTTTACTTGGTCCAACCATTCTATCCAACCCTCCTTCTCCAACTTCCCAGGCAACCACGCTCTCGCTTTACCCAAATCTATCTCTGACCATTGTCCCATTCTCCTTGATACCCAGCCTATCTCTAGAGGCCCCTCCCCCATACAGTTTGAAATGGCATGGCTAGACTGGTGGGCCTCTTTCTCCCCCCCAAGTTCAAGGATGGGCTGGTTTTAGACTTCACCGCAAATTGCAGTTACTCAAAGCTACCCTCAAACAGTGGAGTAGTAATCTCCCTAGAAACTTTCGTGCACTCAAGGTAGAGCTGCTTAGCTCCATTCAATCGTGGGACTCTATCTAAGAATCCAGGACCCTGACCCCTGCTGAGCACCACTCTCGGGCTCAAGCCAAACATGACTGCCTATCCTCTTGAATAAAGAGGAAATCTATGGCGCCCAAAGGTCTAAAATCAAGTGGCTCAAGCAAGGAGACCTTAACACTGCCTTCTTCCACCGAATTGCAAACTGTAGAAGGCGGGAAAACTCCATCTCCCACATCAAGGTCGGCAACTCCATAATTGATCAACCCTCTCTAATTGAACGTGCTATGATCGATTTCTTGTCCAATCTCTTCTCCTCACCCCTGGCCCTAGACCCTCAATGCATGACCTCTCCTTCCTCCAAGCTACTTGGTTGGAGTATCCCTTTGACGAAGATGAAATTCTTGTAGCCATCTGCAATGGCCAAGACAGGGCTCCGGGACGGATGCCCAGTTGCCATCTTCAAAACTTTATGGGAGACTTTTAAAACTGATTTTGTAGCCTTCTTTGCGAAATTCCACTCTTGGGGAGTCATTTGCATGGCTAGGAATGCCACTTTCCTTGCCTTAATCCCGAAAAAAGAAGGGGCTGAAGAACTATCAGATTTCAGACCTATTAGTCTTATAAACAGCTCATATAAAATCCTCTCAAAAGTCCTGGCTACTAGGCTCAAGGGGGTCTTCGGCTGGGTTATTTCTCCCACCCAAGGGGCTTTTTTTAAGCATAGGCAAATCCTTGATGGAGCCCTCATTGCCCACGAGTGCATCCACTTCCATATCCTTTCCAAAGTTCCAGGCCTAGCTATCAAACTGAATTGGGAGAAGGCCTATGACCATGTCAGCTGGGGTCTCCTTGATGAGATTCTTAGCAGGGATGGGTTTCGGTCGTCGTTGGAGACATTGGATGAGGGATTGTGTTCCAAATCCTCACTTCTCTATCCTAATCAATGGATCACCTCAAATCCTCACTTCTCTATCCTAATCAATGTATCTCCTAAAGGTTTTTCCACGGCCTCTAGGGGCCTTCGTCAAGGAGACCACCGATCACCCTTCCTCTTCGCCATTGTAGCAGCAGTTTTCAATAGAGCCATCTCCAGATTTTACCATCATGGTTTCGTTCATGATTTTCAATCCTCTTCCTGAGGGCCCATCGTCTCCCATAGTTAGGAGAGCATCCACCTCAAAAATTGCTTTAATGGACAATAACCTAGCTAGAATGCAGTGTTTTAAAATGTGGGATGCGGTCTTGATGTGGTCGGGGGGCTAATGTGGCTCGATGCGGTCCAGAAGCAAGTGCATCACCCCGATGCGGTCATAAGTATAAACAAAATTCCAAAATAACTCAAAAAATAGGTTAATACAAAAAAAGTAAAATAATGGAGGTGGTCTTTGTGGTAGTAGATATTTAATTTATTCATTAACTGCAGTATTATCAGCTGTCGGAGACTCTGAATCCCCTGATAGAAGACATTAGAAATATAAAGTAGAAACTAGAAACTGACTTTGTAGAAGACGTTAGAACTTAGAAGACATCATATTATCATAAATCATAAACATGCAAAAACCAATGTCACAAATTTGCAATTTCAAACTTTAAAGCTACAAACTTCAAAACAAAGATACATACAACTACTAAAAGTCTATGAAGAGTTCAAGAGTCAAGACAAATCATAGAAGACAATAGAAACGAAAAGATGATCTAATCAGCCCATGAAACCCTCGATATGTTGATGAATCTATGCTTAAACTTCTTCAAAACAACACCCAAGTTAATCCCAATTGACAATCCAACCAACACCTAGAGCAAATCGACAATTTTTTTCTAAAAAAATTCTGCAAATTTTTTTCCTCTTCATTTGGGGGGGGGGGTGGGTGGGGTGGGGTGGGCAGGGGAGGAAGGGTTTAGTACCCCAAAACCCTTCCCCACCTTTTCACAAGGCAAAATTACAGAGTACACTTGGTTGTGGGCACATCCCACCAAAGCACATATGCGCCTCTATGCGATGCGCTTCTGGACGCATAGCGCATTATGCAGCCATGAAGAACATTAGCGGAGGACGTTGAAGAACCTTAGTGGCGCCCTTTATTGTCCTGTAATAAGTTGAATGAGAAGCACCTTTTCTCTCTTCCTGCCCCGTCCAACCCTGCTTAGCGTGTTACCACTGGCAAGGAAGACCTTCCATACCCTTCTCACCCCTTTTCTCCCTAAGGGAGATCTATACCTGGCCTCCATCTCCTATACCTAATGGAACAGAGGGCTCCCCCTATTGACAGTCCTTTCCCCAAACTTTACCAAAAGTCCCTCCATCTCATAAAACCCTCAAGAACCTGAGAAACTCGGCTAGCCCACTCCCTACTCTTTGGCAGGATTACCCAAGAAGCCTACATCCAGGCAATCAGATCTGGTCACCATAACCCAGAGGTTTTCCTTCAACCAAGCCCTGATGGATTCCCCAATTGACCCCCAAGACACATCCAACCTAGACCTACCCCCCTGCTGACTGGGGTAACATTCACCTTGGGAGAGACTTACTTGTGGAGCAAGCCAAAGCACTGGAATAGCACTGCTCGGCTCCTTCCTCCCTCCCAGGCACGACATGAATGACATATAAAAAATGGGCCCGACGAGCATGGAAGTTGTTGTCGATAACCTGCAATCCCCTCTCTAGAGGAGGCTGCATCTTTTCCTTCCCCTTAAAACATTGAGTCTCATAGGCGTTGGCTAATAGAGACCCCCATTTTAGTGGTGGCAAGTTCTCACTCAAACCATGGTCCCCCACTTTAGGACTCTCAGCAAGATGGTGGTGTGGACTTTCACTCATGAATCCTCCCCAACCCCATTCCTGACATCTGAAAACGATTAGGCAAATAGGGGACAACTGCTGGGTTGTCCTGAAAATGTATTCGACATCCTCCCATAACCTCTCCATTGGGCTCCTCACTCATGCTCATTGATGCCCCTTACCCTTCCTCCAACCCCATGTTCATCCTTCTAGAAGTCCCCAGTTACCGCCACTCAATCTCCACCCTTTGACTATACCTCTCATAGTGAGTACCTCAACAACCTAAGATCTCCTTGCCATGGAAGAGACCATGACAATGGGCACCATAATACTCCAGTCCAAGATCCTATTAGTACTCTGGATCTAGACATACATGTCAAATGTCAGTCAGTTGGTGTAGGAGTATAGAACCCGTAGACCTAGTGACCAGAAAGGCCACCAAACTCGGCTACAATCTCGTGGCAACACATCAAACATTTGATGATGGCAAGGGAGGCTGATGTGGGTCCCCTCCCCTAATCTAACTTTGTCTTCACCCCAGTGTTTTAAAAAATGGCGAGTCGCAACGTACTCGCCCGAGTCGACACGAGAATCGGCCACCCTGTGTCGACTCTAGTAAAATACACAGAATCGCTCGGTTCTAGATAAAAACCTGTGATTCGCTACAATAAACCGCCTAAGAACTGGCGATTCGTTAGTAAACCGCTTGAGTCACTACATTGAAGCCCGAGTCGCTTTGAACGTATTTCTCGTAGGCCCCACACTATACAAAAGTAAACTCCCAGAGTCAGGCTTAACCTCAGCGGTTTGATAGACAACTTTCTCGTCGTGCTCACCTCAAAAGCACGTGAACACAAAGGAGACGTTCAAATTACTTTTTATGTTG